GCTGGGGTGCCCTCCACAACCCCCTGATGGGCCCTACTCTGTGCATGACAGGGGGGAGCTCCCCAACCCCCTGATGGGCCCTGCTCTGTGCATGACAGGGTACGGAGCCCCAACCCCTGTGATGGGCCCTGCTCTGTTTGTGACAGGGGTGGCGCCACAACCTCCCCATCGACCCTGCCTTGAGTGTGACAGGGGGCGGTGCCCCAACCCCCCAATTGGCCCTACCCTGCGCGTGACTGAGGGTGGCATCGCAACCTCCCGATCCATCCTGCTCTGTGCATGACAGGGGGCGGCGCCCCAACTCCCCAATCGGCCAGACTGAGGGGACCCCCCCCTCCCCCCCGAGTGCACAAACTTTTGTCACGGGCCTCACAGGGGGCGGCGCCCCAACTCCCCAATCGGCCAGACTGAGGGGACCCCCCCCTCCCCCCCGAGTGCACAAATTTTTGTGCACCGGGCCTCTAGTCTATAATAAAAGCATAATATGCTAATTAGACCTGACGTCCTTCCAGACGAAACCGGGGCTGCAAGGGAAGCTCAGGTCCTGGGTGCTGGAGGAAAGCCTGGGTCCCAGGTGCTAAAGGGAAGCTGGTGCTGGCAGCCGGGGGAAAGAAGGCCTACTCTTGCATGAATTTCGTGCACCGGGCCTCTAGTAATGCCATAAAACTGGATGAGATCATTAATAGCTCTAATTGTGAAAATAGTGAAGAAATGTTGCCCAAGAACTCAACCTTTGAATTTTGCAACACTCAGAAAACAGGAGAGGAGAGAATCAGTAGAAGAGACTGAGATAAAGCAACCAGTGAGATAAGGGGAGAACCAGAAGAGGAGGAGTCTGGGCAGGTGGATGGGTGACAGAATGAGCAGAACAGACAAACCAAGCAAGTTATGTAAGCCTTTCAAGGCTCAGTCTATAAAATAGGGTTGATGGTAAGGATTGATTATAGAGAATATATGTATATCATCAATTTCAGCAACCACCATATAGGAAGTAATAATTAGTAACCTTTTTACTATAAAATAAAACAACTAAAAGCATAAGTACAGATTTTTTTTTCTAGTGAACAGAAAATGCAAGAATTAAAAGAAAGGAAAAGTCTGTATGAGTCAGGGTATTAAGGAAGCCTCATGGAAGAAAGAGAAACTTGACCCAGACTTTAAAATGGGTTTTGATACAGGCAAGCAGAGGCGTCCCAGGTGCTGTGATGAGTAAAGCTCAGTAACAGATTTGCGTATATCATGCTGGTACAGTGAAGAGATGTTTCTCTTCAAATGAAATTTCAGTATAGGCATGAAGTTTGTTATTATTGCTGCTTAGTTTTATTTTATTTGGAAACAAACCTGTTTATTTTTTAAATGCTTTTTTCATGCTTACAAAACTGGGCTCAGTAGACAGTACAAGACTGACCAGTTTCATGGTGTCATCCTTTCTTGCTCTTGTACCCACAATTGATGATGGTTTTTGCATTTGTGCCATTAGGTTTTACCACCACTGAGGGATGTGACCAATCGACCTGAAGTTGGCTCAACTGTGAGAAACAAGCTGGTGCGCCTCATGACACATGTTGACCTTGGAGTCAAACAAATTGCTGCTGAATTCCTTTTCGTCCTTTGCAAGGAGAGAGGTAGGTTAAATTCTTTTTGCCCTCTACTTTATTTTACTGAGGGAGTTTGCAAAATTGTTCTGATAGTACTGGCCATATCATTCCACTCTTTTCAAAGATTGCCTCTCTATCTATTAGAGGCCTAAGGAGATATTAAATGTAATAATTTTAAAACATTTTCTGTATGCTTCTGAATTCATTGAGACATGAGAATACACTTCCAGACACACTCACATTGACACTCTGCCTTCTGTATCCCTAATCCAGACTTCTTAATCTTGATGAGCCAGGACCTGGATCCATTATGAAAAAATCTGCTTAACTAATTCAGGTGCTGCAATTTTGATAACCAGATAAAGGCCTGAGTTAGTTCCTCTTTTTAATCTCTTTTGGAATTGAAATTATAGGCTTCTTCACTAAGTTCTTTAGTCAATAAATTGTTATAGAATATAAGCTACGTAATAGACTAGATCAGTGATTTTCAACCAATGTGCCGTGGCACATAAGAATTTTTAAAACATGCAATACCTGACTATTTAGTCAGGGGCACTGACTTCTTTTCCCTTAGATTGTCCAATAAAATAATTACAACAGCCAACACAACAATAGCCATCTGCTGTGAATGAATCTGTCATATCGGCAAAAAATATATTTTTTGGTGTGCCATAGAATTTTAGTAATTATGTGTGCCATGGGATGAAAAAGGTTGAAAATTGCTGTAGTAGATGGAAGTACAAAAGTGTATAAGGTACAACCTTTACCCTTGGAACAGGGTAAGACAGAAGTAGAGAGAAATCCTATATAATAAAAGCTTAATATGCTAAGTGTCTGACCGTTCATTCGACTGTTCGACCAGTCATTATGATGTACACTGACCACCAGGGTACGGAAGCTCTGACCAGTAGGTTAGCCTGCTGCTGGGGTCTGGCCGATCGGGACTGGGCAAGACAGGCCAGACAGGACACACCCTGGAGCCCTCCTGTGGTCCCTCCCTCGCTGGCCAACCTCCCACAGTACCTTCCCAGCCGGCTGCTCCAATCAGGACTGGGTGAGATGGCCCCAATTGGCCCCGATCAGGACTGGGTGAGATGGGCCAGACATGGCCCTGGACGAATCCAGCATGGTCATAATAATCTGGCCACTCAGTATATATATAAAAGGCTAATGCAAAGTGTCCCCTTGGGAGTTTGACCAGGAGACCGAGAGTCCGATCACTTGCTGTGACATGCACTGACCACCAGGGGGCAGCACGGAACATGGTGGGTGGCCAGTTGTGGCGGTGGGGTGCTGAGGGAGTGAGGGAAGGCGGAGGCAGGTAGGCGGGGAATCTGATCCACCCTGATTGTTGGTCAGGCCTAAAGACCCTACCCATGCATGAATGGGCCTCTAGTAACTACATAAAATAACTACACTGCAATGTAATAAATACTATTTTATAAGTACATATAAAGTAATTGTCTTTTAAGATACATCTGAAAGGTGTTTCCTAAAATTGTATGGGTTGTTTGCTCTGCAAAAGGAAAGTTCTCCAAATAAGGTACTTTGACTATTCTGATATTCTTACTTGTTTCTTCATCTCCTGGTTTATCAATGTACTAGTAAAAAAGTCCTATCTAAGCAGATTTTATTTTCCACTCTTTTATAGTACCCGAGTTTTTGGAGATAGATAATTTAGAGATAGAAAACTTTACTCCTCTCAAAATCTTAAGTCAGTTGAATTCTGTTTTTTCTTTATCCCAGCTTTATCAAGGTATAATTAACAGATAAAATTGTATGTATTTTGAAGTACACAGCACAATGATTTGATATACATGTACATTGTGAAATGACTACTACAGTCAGGTTAATATACCTACTACCTCACATAGTTACCGAGTGTGTGTGTGTGTGGTAAGAACCTTAAGATTTACTCTCTTAGCACATTTCAAGTGTACAATAACTGTTAATTATGGTCACCATACTGAACATTAGATCCCCAGAACATACTCATGCTATAACTGGAGGCTTATGCTCTTTGACCAGCATTTCCCCATTTCCCATAACCTCTACCCAACCCCCTGGTAACCACCATTGTATTCTGGCTCTATGAGTTGTTTGTTTGTGTGTGTGTTTTGTTTTTGTTTTTTAAATATGTTTGCTCTTTATTTTTTATTGATTTTAGAGAGGGAGGTAGGTGGAGAGACAGACATACAGACAGACATAGATCAGTTGCCTCCCGCATGTTCCCCGACCTGGACTGAACCCGAAACCTAGGTATGTGCTCTGGCTGGGAAGCGAACCCAAGTCCTTGCAGTGCACGGACGACTCTCCAACCAACTGAGCCACACTATCCAGGGCTGTTTGTTTTTTAAGATTTCACATATAAGTAAGATCATACAGTATGTGGCTTATTCACTTCACATAAAGTTCTCTAGGTTTATCCATGTTATCACAAAAAGCAGGATTTCCTCTTTTGTCAAGGCTAAATAATATTACATTTTATATACATATACGTATATATTTACCACATCTCCTTTATCCATTCATCTATCGATGGACACTTAACTCATTTCCATATCTTGGTTATCTATATATATAAAACCCTAATATGCAAATAGACCAAACGGCAGAACAATCGGTTGCTATGACATGCACTGACCACCAGGGGGCACGCACGGAACTTGGCAGGCGTCGGCCATGGTGGGATGGTGGAGCAGGTGAGCAGGGGCGCCAGACCAAAGTGGGGCGCTGGTCGCTGTCATCAGGGCAAGCCTCTGGTGGTTACTGAAAATTCTTTGCTCCTGTGCGCCATTGCACATGCTGCCAGTGCCAGCCCCACTTGCACCCACTGATGGCGCCTAGCACTGGCCCCGATCGCTTGGCGCCATCAGCAGGTGCGAGCAGTGGCTGCCGGCCCCGATCGTCCCCCAGGGCTTCTCTACCACTCCTTGCTCCTAAGGGATGATCAGGGCAGCAGCCCCCACTCGCACCTGCTGACGGCCCTAGCCCCACTTGCACCTGCTGCTGGCACTGGCCCCAGTTGCTCTGCACCATCAGTGGGTGCAAACGGGGCCAACGCCATCAGCATGTGGGAGTGGCTGCAGTGGGAGCAGCAGTGGCGGGAGGGGCTGGGCGGGGGCATGGAGGATGAGCTGAGACCTGCCCCTGTGCCCACTGCAGCCTTGCGGCCCACAGTTCTTTTCAAGGTGCACAAATTCATGCACTGGGCCCCTAGTTATATATAATGCTGCACCAAACATGTAAATGCAGATATCTCTTGGGAATACTGATTTCATTCCTTTGGAAATATACCCAATAGTTGGATTGTTAGATCATATAGTAGTTCTATTTTTAATTTTTTGAGAAATCCTTCATACTATCTTCCATAGTGGTTGCACCAGCTTACATTTACACCAACAGTGTAGAAGGCATCCCTTTACACCACATCCTTGCAACACTTACCATCTCTTGTTTTTTTGATAAAAACCATCCTAACAGGTGTGAGGTGATCTCTCATTGTGGTTTTGATATGTATTTCCCTAATAATTAGGGATGTTGTGCACCTTTTCATGTGCTGCTTGGGACATGCTTATTCAGGTCCTTTGCCCACTTATAACTGAACTACAGTTAACCTTTGAACAACATGGAGGTTTAGGGGTGCCGACCCCACACACAGTTGAAAACCCACATGTAACTTTGACTCCCCAAAAACTTAACAGCTAATAACTTACTGTTGACAGGAACATAAACAGTCATTTAACATATACTTTGTAAAGTAAGCTAAAGGAAAAAAAGTTAAGAAAGTAATAAGGAAGAGAAAATATATTTATAGTACTATACATAATTATTGAAAAAAAGCTACATACAAACAGACCCACACACACAGTTCAAATCTATATTGTTCGATAGTCAACTGTATTCATTTTTTTTACTACTGAGTTGTATCCATTGAATTCTTAAACTTCATTTCTGACTGATTGATCCAACCACTTCAGTTCCTATTAAGATGGTATATTAGCAACATAATCTGATCAATGTCATAACAATGACAATAGCAGCTGTGTTGAGGCATCTTGTGCCAAATGTCCTATGCCATAATCCCATCATTCTCATAAGACCCCTCTAAGATAAATATCATTATTATTTTAATGTCGTAAAAGAGGCACCCTTGCTTTTGAGAGCCTCTCAGTAACTTATTGAAGGTTACATAGTTGCTTAGGGCTAAAGCCCAAATTTGAGTATTATCATTCCATATTTCCTCTCATAATAATTATCTTCAGCTCTTCTCATAGACTAGTTATTTAATATCTGCTCTTTTAAACAATTCAATTCTTTCATGACTTTGAAAAAAATTACTATAGCATTTTGGAATTAAGTGACAGGTGTAGTGCCTTGCACATAATCTGCAAATACTGGCCGAATTGAATAAATTTTTCTGAAATCAGAAATTTGTTGTTTAAAGTATAATTATACACACACATGTATCTATTTATTTAAAAAGGTGTATCAAAATATACACCAAAATATTATCCATTGTTATCTCTGAGTAGTAGGATGACTGTTAACTTGTTTTTGAGTTCTCTGCTTTGTAATTTTTTTCCTACAATAAGCATGCATTTCTTGTGTTACTTCTAAAAAAGTTATTAAATGAGGGAAAGTAAACTTTATTTCTTCTATAATTACATATCTAAGTACATAAATTACACATATAAATATAGTCACCTTACTAATGACTTAGTGAATGTCATAGCGAATAATAGTATATGCATTTATAAAGGAGTTTGTTAATTGTTTTTCATTTGAAATGTTTCACTTCATTCCCCCTTGGACCCAACATTTGTGTTTCATAGTTCTAACTTTGGGCCCCAAACAAACCCATATTAGCAAAATTGTATCTTTTTCATTTGACCTCTAACAATCCATATATTTTCCTCTGCTTCTCCTTCCAATTTGTTTTTAAGTTTAGTAGATTTATTCTGGAATAAAAATTTATTTAGCAAATATTTTTGAGCTAGACCTTGAGAATACAGACGTATGTATAC